TTTGATCAAAATAATATTATTGTTGTTTAGATAGTGAAACTTTGTATAGATATTTCAGCGAGAGAAAGAAATATAAGAAACACGATGAAAAAACCTTGAGGAAGAGGGAGAGGAAGATGATGAAAAGAAAATTAATGAATTATACGATCCCTAGTGTATTCGTATTTGGTCGAATTGATATATTTATTTTACTTTCAGTCAAACTGGGTCCTTTATGTTAAAATTAGTAATAATTGAATCCCTCTATGGATGCGTGTACTTATATGTGTAAATATTGAAAGATGAAAAGTTTTTTAGAATTTTACCAAACATCCTTTTTATTGAAACAAAAGAAAACTATAAACTTTTGTTTTTGCCAAATGGGCTATAAAAGCAAATTCATATGAGGAGAAATTGTTAGTTATATATTAACATTGTAATGTTTTTTCATTCGGATAAAAAATAAAAAATATCAAAATTAAATAGCCCTTTAAAAAATGTAATTAAAGGAAAAAAAAAGAATACTATGAATAAAAAAGGTGTGGTTTACTTGCAAGGAATAAAAAAAATCATGAATTTGTGAACACAAATAAAATCTCAATGGACGAAACTTGTTGAAAAAAATCTACAATTGAGATTCATAATATTATTGAATATAAGGTTTAATGTTTCAGAAAATTACAAACTATATACTTTTTAATAATTTTAGCTTATTCTTTAAACTTTATAAAAAAATATTACCAACTAAGCATCCGATAATAATACTAGCTAGCACGGATCTGATTTTTTGATAAAAAATTTGAACAACATTGACATGGCAAGTGACGAAGCATGACGATTGGACTTTAGTAAGCCATGTAAGATCTACATAAGCATGATAACATGACTTTAGCAAGCAACGTAGGATCCACATAATTGATTTTTCATGTCGCTACTTATGTGGATCATATGTGGTTTTCTAAAGTCCAAGTGTCATGTTTATGTGGATTGTCATGTTAGTATTGTCTGAAATTTTGATCGAAAAATAACATATGTGTTATTATTGTTATCGAACGCTTAGTTGGTGATCTGTTTATAAAAGTTTCAAAAAAATGAGCTAAAATCATTAAAAAAATGTATAGTTCATAATTTTCTTGAACATTAAGCATAAATATAATTGGGTTATAGGTATTTTTTAATGAGCAAAGCTAGAATGATTTATATCTAGATTAGCATTTATATTAAAATTGCAAAAAATGGATGAAGAATGTGCTGATTAATTAGCATTTATATTAAAATTGCAATTATGGATGAAAGATGTGCTGAAAATTCAGTTGATGTTCAAATTCCATGTTTTATTATATAATTATTTGTAGTGTGTATTTATAATTATTGATTTTTTTATTAGATAGCTTGTTCTCAAAACCCAATCCATTTTCCAAATAAAATTTGCCTAAATACTCCGGGGAAAAAAAAGACATTGATGGAATGGAACTTTGTCTCATTTTATAGTACTCAAGACTTTGATGGAAAAAAAGACATTGATGGAATGGTGCAACAAAATTCATTACATAACATATGCATTAAAAAATAAAAGAAAAGAAATTAAAGTTGTGTGAAAAATATAACAAGAAATTTTATACTACTTAAGAAAAAATTAGTGTAAGTTACTCCATAAAGAGAGATGGACCAAAAAATGAGAGAGAAATAGGAGAGAAAATTTAAAAAAAAATTGAACTGACGTGAAAATATTTTTATCACTTTTATTAGATTCGGATATGATTTTATATATATAAATATATATCTTTTTTAAAAAATAAATCTATGAAGTAACTAGTGTAACTCTATCGAATTATAAAATTTCTCAAAATATAACTATCAATGAATACACTATTATGTTGAATGTCCTCCGTATACAACCTTGAAACTAGCTACTCTATCAATTGTTGATTTTAGAAGTACTAGATAAATAAAAAGTTAATTGTTTGGAATCATTGCATGAAGCCAACGAAGAAACCAAAATGAATAACAAGTCCCAACTTTCGGGTCCGAAAATTGTAAGAAATAACGACATCTTCATGCTACAAATAAACCGTGTTGAAATCAAAAGGATGCATTGCTACTAGATGAAGATAGATATTCTCCCAAATTTGTCCCTTAAAATGTCATCAATGTATCATAACTTGAACCGTGCAAGGTGCTTAGGCCTAGCATTTGTTGACAAGTTCGTCGGTTGATAATTAAAGTAGCGAGCTTTTTATGATTGTCTCTTGTTAGGAGGTTAAATACTACTTAGTAATTTTCAGATTTCAAATATTTAATTTAAATATCTAATCATCATCAACTACTGATTGGATTTCGATGTGATCATATGAAATATTTCAAATTCAAAGTTGTCTAATTATTACAACATCTAATAACTAAACTATAGAGTTGACGCAATATGTGGAAGCTCAAAATTAAAAGACTAAAATTTAAAAAAAGAAAAAAAGAAAATTAAAATACTATTTACCACTTGGTTTCTCCCAATGAGAATTAGGAATTTCATAAGTTAAGAAAATTGCAAGATTTTATCTCTATCCGAACCTCGTACAATTCAAAATTTTTTGATCGAGATCTTAAATTTTTTCACTTCAATTTAAGAGTTCTACTATTATGTTGTTTTTGTTTCAAACATTAATTAATGATAACTTATCACGTGTGCACTCTAGCCAATAATAGCTTGCCACATCACGGATTCACTCAACCAATTTGAGTCCATCTTGACTCGTGGACACGTGGCTAGTCGTCATTTGTTAGAGTTTGTCACTTGTGCTTACGTGACACATTATAGTCCGAAATAATAACAACATAAGAGTAAAATTCTTAAATTAGAAAAAACTTAAAGACTCAATTAAAAAATTTGAATTATACAATATCTCGATACGTGTAAAATCCAAAAATTGCATGGACGATAAAAAGGACAAAGCAGCTTTTTAAATCAGTAGAGCTTGACTTACTTAACTAAGGATAAAATAAATATTTTATTAAAGTAAAAAAACAAATAAAATAATTAATTTATTAAAAAAAATAAAGAAAGAGTGAGAATGTGGTCAATTTATGTGAGCTGTCAATATCACCCTTCAATATTTCAATCCAAAAAAATTTATCTCCAAACATGAAATTCTTAAATTTCCGATCGTTATAAAGAATAAATAAGAAGTCTATTTTCTTTAAATAGTTTAATAATTCATTAGATATTTTATTAGAATTGACAAAACATTTATTCGTTTAATATCCTATCTATTATCATTCTTAATCTAAAATAAAAATCTCTCACTTGATTCTTTCATACGGCAAGTCTTTCTATCATCATGATCATCATCATCACAATTCTCCTACATGATACTTTTACCGTTTCCTGTGGCCAAATTAATCCTATTGTCACCCTCTCTGCCTTCCTAACTGGCCTCGTTTCCCTTACAAAGATTTTATCAACATTTTGGTTCAACGTGGTAGTGAAATTAATATATAGATGCTCTAGCACTAAAAGCTGTGGTAAACAGCAAAAACGAACCAACCTTTTCATCTCGGAGGCTGTAGACTCACAATTGTTGCTCAGGCGTCACATGGGCCTATTGTGATAGGCTTGGAGACAGGCCAGGCCTTTGGGCTGGAGATAATTTGTGGGTTTGTATTTATTTCGGTTTGTATTTTAGCGAGAGAAAGAAATGTAAGAAACGTGATGAAAAAGGCTCGAGGGAGAGGGAGCGGGAGATGATAAAAAACAGTGAGTTATATGATCCTCGAGTATTCGTATTTGGTTAAATCGATGTATTTATTTTACTTTCAATCAAACTAGGTCCTCTATCTTTAAGTTAGTAATAGTTGAATCCATACATGAGTGCATGTACTTACACGAGTTATCATATAGGAAGAAATTAAAATATTATGAATAAAAAGATGTGGTTTACCATGAGTTATAAAAGCAAACGCGTTGTTACTATAGGAAGAAATTATTAGTTACTAACATTATAGTGCTCTTTCACTCGGATAAAAAAGGAATTTACCGTGATATCTTTTACTCGAATAAAAATGAAATCTATCGTGATATAAAAAATACCAAAATTAAAATAACTGATTACAAAAAGGAAAACAAAATGCAACCCAGAAATGAAAATATTATGAATAAAAAGATGTGGTTTACCATGAAAAAAGACAGCATCATATTCATGACTTTGTAAAACTTTTAGTCAGCTAGTAAGCAAAATCTCATTGCATCTAAAATTTGGGTAATTGGGTTATAGCCGATTTTTTGTTTTTAATGATAAAACTAGAATGATTTGTAATATCTATAGTTATCATATATTTGATGTATTGGAGGAAATTAAAATTACACGATTAATTAATTTATAAAATTAGGTTAAAATAGTAAAGAATAATATTGTCAACCTCAACCGACTACCGATCATAGAAGATGACTATGGAAATTGAAACAATCATACCAAGTTGGCGTGAGATATTATTTTTTCTATTTTTCTTTTTCTCTCGAGGAGATTAATGGGTACAATGCAAACAAAAAGAGCAATCTTGAACGTATATAAAAAATAAAAAAGAGAGAATACGAACAGCTAAAGTAAGTAGAAGGTAAATCACTTTTTTTGAAGGAGGATAAAAAAATAAATTTACTAAATGCTAATTTTAAGACTCAATAAATAAAATGTCAAAAAATAAAGTAAATTCTCTCAACTATCACAACTACAATTAGTTAACAATTTATTTTTATTTATTTATTAAATAATTGCTTAAATTAAAATGGTGATGACAAGGGAGCATGATCACAAAAGAATTGAAATATCAATAAGGTATTATGTTATTCTTGTAAAAGAAAATGTAGAGAATAAGGTATACACAACTCATACTTATTTATATAAATGTACATTTTAAAATACTTAATTCCTTATGGTATTCCATTTTATTTAAAAAGGTGCGAAGAGGTTTTGACATATATAACTGGCCACATTAATTAAAATTTGTTTTTTTTTTTATATATTTTCATTACTTCACCAAGCTAGACTGACTGTCCTCCTTAAGCTCTTCAACTTATCAGCTTTCTTTGGTGTCGTCTTCGATGATTTCCTTTTCATAACCTGTAAAATAAGGAAAATTAACCATAAAAAAAAAAAGAAAAAAATTCATTTTTATTGTGCATCCTCTAGTTTTGCAAAAATGACCCCAAAAAAATATTTTTTTTCTCATAAATCTTTTAGTATTTTTTTTACTTTTTTTTATTTCATAAAAAATTAAAATAAAAGAAAAATAATTAAGTTACAAATAGATTTAAAAACATAAAAGCGAATTAATTAATTCGGTTTAGAAACAGAAAGACTATTTAATTTGTTTTGAAAAACTAGAGGAACTAATTCATAATTTCCTTTTTAACATAGTAGGAATTGAAGAATTTAGACAAAAAGTAACATCAATAACATTGGAAATTGTAAATAGTGAGTTCTATACCTCTTCCTTTCTCTTTTCCTCTATTTCCTCCTATTTCAAATTATATTTAAGAAGGAGAAAAAAAAAAAAAAAAACTCTCATTAGGGTGTTGATAATACTGAGGAAAAATGAATAAACCATTCTTATAACACAATCTGCAATGAAAGATGATCTCTAGCTTTAATTACCACAATTTGCTTTAGCTTAGCGTTCTCTTCTTTAAGCTGATTCAACTCAAGTTCCAACTCCACCGTATATGCCTGCAGTATCATATATAAGAGATTTTGATCAGAGTATTAATTGCATTAGTATATATCATGGGAAAAATGATTCTTGAAACAACGGCCTTCATGTCTGCGAAACATGAGGTGGAGACTCAAGTTCGAGTTCCTGCCACAAGGGAAGGAAGATTTGGCAGTGCATCATTTGATTTTAATGAAGCAAAAGGAAGTAAAGAATCCCCTGAGATTAATAACATTTTTAAGTACTGCATAACTTCAGAAAAAAAAATTAGACATACAAAATGCACATTGATTTCATGAGAAGAACAATCGTTTGGAGTAATCTAACATTGATTATGAGAGGATTAAATACCTGCTTCCGAGCACGCGATCGTGCGGCTGACTCTCGATTCTTTATCATCCTGCGTTGCCGCCGCTCCACGACTACCTCAGGCGGACCGTCACTCATTCTCTTCTTGTTTGATTGTGCTTCTAATTCGATCATGCTTTGACACTTCTCATTCTTAGCATTATTTGCTATAGCTTCTCCCACATCATACCCTTTGCCTTGTGGGAACAGTTGGTACGCTGCGAAACCATTTCCGGCGGACAAATTGGTACCTACATTTTGGTATCCTAGCCCAATCATATGCCCCATTGCAAAGTTCATGTCCAAGCATGTATTGTTGCTATCCTGAATAGGTGTCACCATTTTCTGCTGTGAGGATCCTGCAGGAGCTTCCTGAACAACACCGGCTTTTATTAGGAAATCTTCCAATGTTATCTCACCCAATGTTTGTTGCCGCTGAGGAGGTTCATCATTCGCACCGACGTTGTTCGAATTGTGTTGCGGTGGCTCTTCATTTTGAATCTCAAACCATACCTCATCGACGGTTTTTTTGCCGAGGGGGAAGGGATAGAGAAAGAGCCTTGCCGTGCTAGATTCGGATGTTGGTTCATTCCGCCAGCATCATTAGCAGGCCTAACATTTTGGTTCGGTTGCGATGGAACTTGATTATCATCAGAATTCCACAAGTTAGAAATAAATTCATCCATGTTCATAGAGCCAAAGGCCTTCCCTCTCTTGAGCTGAATTTCATTGAGGGTAAGTGACAAGAGAGAACTTTGTCCGTCTAATGGAGAAAATGGGGTGTCCTTCAATGTCTGGTCTTGATCTTGTGGTTGGAGCACTGGAGATTCTTGTATGGCATTGCCGTAACCAATATTTTCAGATACCATTCTTACCATTCAGGAATTTTGAGCTTGTGAATGTTGAAACAGTTCAAGTCCCTGAACAAGAAAAAATTGTCCAAACTAATATTTAGCTAGTAAAACTATTTTACTGAGATTGCAGTAATTGTATAACTTTCAGCTTCAAAAATAAATTTAAGGGACATCCCAGTTTGCTTAACCAAAAAATTACGGTCAAAAGATCTGTTTAATTATAAATTAATCAAACACTAATTAGTAACGACTGCATACCTGGAGATTGTTCATCTTTTTAAGAAATATAATAAAAGAAAAAAAGTTTTTTTTCATTTTTCCTAGAATATTCCTTAAAGAAAAAAAAAAAAAACAACCAACAAAAGTAATTTGCGAATAAGAAGAGATGGGCTCAGATTATTTGGGTCTTAGGCTGCCAACCCAAAACCTCAATACTTAGTTTACCCTCACGAAAAGCCCATCTTCTCATTTTCACAGACCAAGAAGAACTTTTACCCAGTTATATATAAATTATGTTTATTTATTTATTATAAGACTATCAAAATTAACAATGAAGCAAAAAAAAAAAAAAAAACAAGAAGAAGAAGAAGAAGAAGAATTCTCGTGAATATCCGGCATGCAAGGGCCCAATCACTAATCATGCATGCCCACCAAATTGCCTTCAAATCCCCATTAAAACTTGATGTTTAAGCTCTAAAACTTTTTTTCTTGAACAAACTCTAGCCTCTTGCACATTTGCATGCAGGAATCAATCTACCAGGCAAATAATTAAAAAAAAAAAAAAAAAGGCACTCAAAACAACATGTCTCACAAGAGAAAACAATTCATGCCATTTCAAAACTACAAGATAACCTGAGACTGACCATGCATATATAGCACACAAACCTTGAGAGAGATTGAGAAAAAAGCACCTAAGAATCAGAGCAGCCAAAGAGTTTTCTTCATCACTTGTTCTTGCTGTCTTCGCTATAGCGATGAAAACAAAGCAAAAGGGACAAATGGGAATCTATGCTTCTGCAAGAAGAAAAGAAAGAGTTGCTTCCATTAGTGGGTCTGTGGTCAGGGACTAGAGAGGAGAAGAGAGGGTTAATTTCAGTGTAACTGCCAATCTGCCATGGTTATGCCTTAATACAAGGCCACCCTTAATACATGGCAGAAGTGGGCCCCACCATTCCGTTCGGGCTTCTTTGACACGTTTCTGCCACTTGCCTCATTTTTTCTGCCCACGTACAACAAACCCTTTTCTCGCCTTACCATCCTTGCATGCCCTTGGCTTTTCTTTAGGTAGGTAGATTTGGGTAGTGTTAGATAGTAAATTATAAATTAGTTCCTCTATTTTCAAGAAAAGAATTAATAGATTTTATTTATTTAAAAATTAATTATTATTTTTTATTGATATTAATCATACTTAATTTGATATTATTTTATTTCAAAAACTTTCTTTTTTCTCACTGGTCCTCTAATTATTTTTTATTTTTTTATTTTTTAAAATAAAAAATCAAAATAAATTGAAGAAGAATGAAAATGATTAACTTAAAAGAAAATATAAAAATATAAAAATTGAATAATTAGTTTTTAAAATAAAAAAATTAATTTATTCATTTCTCAAAATTAAATGGTAGTATTTATAATTTACTCCTTAGATACATACCTTCTTAAAATTGGCCGTTTTATTTCAATTAAAATAAATAAATTACCAAAAGTGAATTACTATTATTTTTTCCTGTGATTTACACTTTTTTTTTTAACATATATTTGACTTCAAACAGTTTGTGTCCGTGGTGATCGTAAAAAGAGGTGGTGTTTAAGGAGTAAATTTTATACTGGTCCCTCTTGTAAAAAATAAATTAATTAGTTCTTCTGATTTCAGGACCTAATTATTTAGTTTTTTTAATCGATGTTGATTATAATTAATTTAATATTTTTTTATTTTATAAAATATCTTCTTTTCTCATCTATCTTCTCATATTTTTACTTGTTTTTATTCTTTATTTTTGAAAATAAAAAATAAAATAAATTGAAAATATTAAATAATTAAATAATTAGTTTTTGAAATCAGAATAATCGATTGATTCATTTCTTAAAACGAGAGGGACTAATTTATAATTTACACCGTCTTTAAGGTACAAATTTAAATCATAATTGAACTATATTTGAAAAAATTTATAGCTGTAGCACCATTGTCATTGCTTTGTTTATTAATGATATTGTTTTAATTCCTCAAATTAAGTACATGTGCATTTTATTAATTTTTTTTACTGTATTTACCATACAACCTAAATAGTAAAATCAATTGGTTAATTAAGTAATTTAATTTCAAGAAGTCAAGTCAATCTTATCTTACTTGGTTTGGTCAGTGCCTGACGTACCTTATCCGTGACTATGATGATTTTCATTAAATTAATTAATGCATTTTTTCTAATTTCTAACAAACTTCTCACTTTATCTGTGAGTGTGATGATTTTCATTGAAAAAAATTAATGCATCTTTAGTAATTTTAAACACACTTCTTAGATTTTTGAATCTCAATTACCGGTTATTTGTATTAATTATCTGTAATTGTTGATGATTATTATTAAAATAGTTAGTGTATTTTTACTAAATTTAAACAAACTTCTTACGTTATTCATGAATGTGATGATTATCATTAAAGTAATTAATGCATTTTACTAATTTTAAGCACACTTCTCAGGTTTTTTAATTTAGTCTTCAGTTATTTACATTATTAGTGATTGTGATGATTGTTGCTAAAGTAGTTGGTGCATTTTTACTAATTTTAAACAAACTTCTCACGTTATCTATAACTGTGATGATTTTCATTAAAAACAATTAATGCTTCTTTACTAATTTTAAACACCCTTCTTAGACTTTTGAATCTCAATTATCAATTATTTATATTAATTATCTGTAACCGTTGATGGTTGTTATTAAAGTAGTTAATGTATTTTTATTAAATTTAAACAAACTTTTTGCATTATTCATGAATGTGATGATTATCATTAAAGTAATTAATGCATTTTACTAATTTTAAGCACAATTCTCAGATTTTTTAATCTTAATTATCCATTATTTACATTATTTGTGATTGTGAAATGATTTTCATTAAAAAAAAAAATCAATGCATCTTTACTAATTTTCAACACACTTTTTAGATTTTTGAATCTCAATTATCGGTTATTTGTATTAATTATCTGTAAATGTTGATGATTGTTATTGAAGTGATTAATTTATTTTTACTAAATTTAAACAAACTTCTTACGTTATTTATGAATGTGATGATTATCATTAAAGTAATTAATGCATTTTACTAATTTTAAGCACACTTATCAGATTTTTTAATCTTAATTATCGGTTATTTACATTATCTGTATGATGATTATTGTTAAAGTAGCTGATGCATTTTTACTAATTTTAAACAAAATTCTCACGTTATCTATAACTTTGATGATTTTCATTAAAGTAATTAATGCATTTTACTAATTTTAAAACACTTGTTAGATTTTCGAATCTCAGAAAGATTTATTCAGGATTTTTTTTCTTTTTCAAATTCTCCTAACAAGAATTTTTATTTTTAACTTTACGATAGATCTTATTTTATGTTAGAAAGGACATGCCAATCCAATGTGTGAGGAAGTTTCGAGTTGGAGTGCATATATTGGCACTAAACCTGCTTAATATCTCTTCTTTCGTGGTCAAAAATTATTTTCTAAATAAATACAATTATGCATTGTATTTTATACATTTATTATAGTTGAGTTTTTGCTTGTCTTTACGTATGCATGGTCCGGTACATGGGGCATAAATATACTCGCTATTTCACAGTAAACAAAATTGTTATAAGGAGGAAATAAAACCAAGTTAAAAATACTCAATGTAAGAATCCTTGTACGTCCCACATTCGAATAATTGTTACTCGATTTTTAAACAAACTTCTCATATTTTTGAATCCCAAAAAAATTATTCAGGATTTTTCTTTTTCTTTTTCTTTTTTTCAATTTCACCAAATAATAATTGTTATTTTTTATTTTATGGTAGATCTTAATTTTATGTTAGAAAGGGCATACCAATCCAATGCGTGATGAGGTTGTAAGTTCGAGTGCAAATAAATATAGGCACTAAACTTGCTTAATATCCCATCTTCGGTGGTCAAAAATTATTTTCTAGATAACTACAATTATGCATTATATTTTGTATATTTATTATAGTTGAGTTTTTTCTTGTTCTTATATATGGGTCGGTACATGGAGTATAAAGACATTCACCGTTTTGCAGTAAATAAATTTAGTACGAGCAGGGAATAAAATCAGACAAAAAATATACAATACAAGAATATCATAGGTCGTACATTTAGTTCATTGTTACTCAATTCTTCATCAAATTATGATACTTAGTTGATCATGATCATACTAAAGAGTTTGTAGTCCAATAATAATAATTTTTTATAATAATAAGTCATGGATTTAAATTTTAACATACTAGTTTTACAAGAAGTCTTAGGAGTAAAAAAAAAAAAAAAAAAACTTGACCATAACTGTAATTTAGCTTCCAATTCAATTGGTGCTTCCTCGGATATATTAGACTTATGGTTTAAAGGGTTTATCTATTTTATTCTCTTCATCCAAACATAATATAAAATAAATTATGTACTATTGAATGTTAGAATTAGAATAAATTAATCTTTTTATCTGACATCTAATCAATCATATAATAACATATAGTTAACGGAAATTGACGATAAAGTTGGTTTCTTCGATGTTTAATAATATATATTTTTATTTATCGTAATAAAATAAAATAATTAAAATTAACGGATAATATTAAATAATGTTAAACAGTATAAAGATACAAGATGAATTTTATCTGTTAATTAAACATGGTTACTAATTCAAATCATGATTAAACTAGCGTAGGATATTTGCACCAATTTATGGCATTATGACAAATTCACCGTTGTCGTAGCAATTCTTCATTTTTCATATGGTTTTAATTCCTTGAAATCCTCGTATATTTTCTTAATTATTATTAACTTAATATCGAGTAGCCTAATTAGTAACCCACTCTTTTGGCCAATAAGTTATTTAATGTATATTTATATTTTGCTTTTGAAGTTAATGATTCAATCGGTGCTCATATAATAAATATCATTTTTTTAAATTAAATAAATGTAACTTTTTTCTCTTTTCATTTTGGATGTATTCACGCTGCTATTACCTTTTATCCAATAAAATAAAATAAATAAATAAAAATTCTCAACTGCTAAAGTCAGCAATGCTTTCTTTCTTGTCTTCAACGTCGTTACTGTCGTTTGTTTTGTATGTGGATTCTTCGATCTATTATGTCATCCTAGACTTGTTTAGACACACGTGCCCAAAAATTTTGCACCGGAGTAAATTAAAATTAATCCTCAATTATAGTTTAATAAAATTAAATAATTAATCCTTATCGTTTAGAAATTATATATTTAATTCATTTTATTTTTTTTATAATTTAATTAGTCCTTTTGTCAATTTTTGTTCCTTTTCAATTTATTTGTCTTTTTTTTTCTTTTTTGAAAAACAGAATAAAATAAAAAGAATTAGGTGAATGTGGAAATTTAACAGTAAAAGAAGTCGTTATTGGGGAAAAAATCTACTAAATTGAAGATGGTTAATGTCACTCCAGCGATTATTTAATTATTTTTCTGTTAATTTAAAATTACTGCTCAATACCATCTTATGTGTAGATTCTTGCACGTTCAATTTTCAAGTTTCACCTAGTTATGATAACCTTCCATTTTTTGAAATGCACATACCATTATGTTGTGAATAAATTATAAATTAGTTCTTTTAGTTTTAAAAAAGAATTAATTAATTTTTTTCATCTTAAAAATTAATCATTTAGTTTTTTAATCGTCATTGACTATGCTTAATTTAATACTATTTTATTATAAAATATTTTTTTTAATCAATGTTTCAATAATATGGATTTATTTATTTTCTTTTTTTAAATAAAAATAAATTTGAAAAAAACATAAAATTGACAAAATGTACTAAATAATTAGTTTTTGAAATAGAAAAGATTTGTTTCTCAAAACAGAGAGACTAGTTTGTAATTTACTCTGATGTGCTCCCAAACCGTCCCCTTCGTTGATTATGTCATCTGAGGGCACACACATGCAGACATATTTGTTTGCTTGTAATGTGACGGTCCTAATGATAGAGTAAAATATGATTTAGTCCCTCTCGTTTGGAGAGACGAATTTAATTAATCTCCCTTAGTTTTAAAAACTAGTCATTTAGTCCTTATGGTTACATTGGATTAAACAAGTTCATACTTTTCGTTTGTTGACGGTTAGTAAAGTGATGAAGTGTTCTTATTTGAATATGTTTTATTTTCAAATAGCCCTTCTAGTTATATATAAAACTAAATGGTGCTTCTCTTCTCTCTCCCCTAACCCTAAATCTTACAACTTATTTTCTCTTCTCTTTAACTATCGTTTTCTATTTCCTTAATTTTGCAACATCTTTTCCTTAATTGACAAACCCTAAATCTTGTAAGAGTACCCTTCCTTAAGTGGTAGCCTTGGATCCTAGGTTGTTACCTATTTAGTAATAGTATAACACCTGTGTGTTACAACAAATAAATCTATATAATATATTTTAATATTTTAAATAATAAAAATAACTAGACATAAAATAAAAATTAATTAACACTAACTATGAGAATTAATTTAATTTAATATGTACTATGCAATATTTAATCAAATATATATTCTATAATTGAATTTAAATATATCATAGGAATATTTTTTATTTTATTCAATAAAAAACATACAATTAATTATTTATTTTTTAAAAATCAAAATAGAAAAAGATGCTAAATCAATTTATATTAAAATAATATTTAATTTTAGCTAAAAAATTATAAAAAAATAAAAAAGTAACTACTAATTATGGAAAAAAAATCATTTTGATAAAATAATAAATAAAAAAAAAGGGAGAACTAAAAAGAGAGAGACTGGACTGGGGCTTACACCAGGCCCTTCTATATGAGTCTGGAGACAACAAGTCCCGTGCGTTTGGGCTGGAAGTGTAACCCAGCCATAAAAAGACATAAAAACCTTTTTGCAATAAAAATTAAATTTAGGAATCATTTTGTATAATATTAAAACTCAAAGAACTAAAATGAAAAAACAATGCCGTTTTGGTCACTGAGCTAAACTGCAATTAAACTGCATTTAGTTTTAGTTTTTTTAATTAATTAATCAATGACACATTTGATATGTCTTCCACCGTGAATGTTAGGACGTAAAGGATTTGATTTCAAGTTATTGTTCAGAAAATATGTGGAAGTACCAGGTCCTATGACATATGTTCTTTCTTTTCTTTTCTGTTTGAAGCTTTTGAGAACTTATGTGCCTTTAAAATCGAATGTCTATCAGATCAGTAGATTTGCTACCTTCTTGGAAGAGCTTGCAATTAATTCTGTCGTAAAAATCCTGCATCAACATCCTTAGGTTTTGAGAAAATGAGCGATGAATCTATAGGAACATATAATGGAGCTTCGTATCTGGTATTTTACCTCTCAAATCTCTTACGTGGGATTTTTTTTGCTGCCGACTCATGTACCTTTCTTTTCTTTTCTTTTCTTTTTTTTCTTTCTTTTTTCATGGAGAGACTCTGCTGCTTTTAACAAGATACTAAAACTTGTTCATCTCAAGTGATGGAATTTTGTAGCCGTCAGAGTCTCCAACTCTTAACATGAAGCATTTAGTGTCAAGACTAGGGAATATTCTTTTGAGGCGTTAAGAGTTTTTGTTTCAACCTCTTAAGTAAAATTGCAGGTCCCAAGTGGCTGCTGCCCTTTACTTTCCTATTCTGTACAAATACGTGGGTTACCTTTCTCTGCTTTCTTGCTTTAAGATAAAAGTTTTGACGGTGATATCCTTCACCTATTTTATCTATTTATAATCACCAGTATCCTGAAAGCGAAGCATATGCTTTCTTGTTTCTTATGATTCCTTGATACGTTGCTCTTCTTGTCAGCTCTTACTTGAATTACTTCCATCCAAGAAAACGTAAACCTTGGTCAATTGTGTGAAAAGTTTCTTTTCAATCCTTGAACTTGCAAGGAGTGATTAGGTAAATTCCACCAAGCCATTCAAACTTTCAGCGATCAGTTCAAAGGGAATGATTTTGGCATCTCTATATTGCACACAAACACAAAGGAAAGAATTATATTCACTTCAATCATTTGAATAACAAATGTAATTCGCACGTTACATTTCCTAAAGTCAATCTACATACACGAACAACATTTTGAATAATGGAATGATGAGTTGACAATTTGGGTGCGAATTATGGATGTATTTGGTCTAATGTAAGAGGCTCTTCTCGTAGCAAAAGTGCTCTCAGAACAGCTTCGCATAAACCAGTATAATGAACAATTAGATGCCCCCCTTCAGGAACTTCATGATACTGAATCCAGGGTAGCTTTTTTGAAATACATCTTTGAAGTTGAAATGGCACAACCTTGTCTTCATAACCTTGCCAGATGTGAACAGAGCTTTCGTTCTGCGGAAATGGGTTACTTAGTTCCACCGGATCAAATTCCCAATCTCCAAAAGCTACCATAAAGTCATGACGGAGAGTATCGAAAACATCTCGTTGTCGTATGCTTTCCTGTAAATTGAAAGATTAGCATTATTATGAGATGACACTTATTCAGCATGTTTCTTTACAAACCTACATGTAAATACAGTTGAACATGATTGGTTCAATCATTTTTCAGTTGAATTGTGCTAGAGATAACACTGCTACTACTTGTTTTATGAACTGACGTGATGGTTTAAGACAGATGATATATCAATCATGTCATTTGAAGATGGTAAGAATGTATGAAAATGTTCTTAAGAGACATGTTTCGTGATGCAAACAAGTGTTATTAAAATTGTCAGTTAGCCTAGCATTTCTCTTCAGTTTAACAGCTGGAGGCCTTCCTATTCCCCCATTTGTGCACAATGGAGTATATAGTTACCTGGCTTAGCATTGGGAATCCTGGTATCTTCTTCAAGACTTCTATATCGTGTGTGTTAAAGAACGCAGGGTTTTTTTCCAGGACAGAAGTTGAAGGGATCCATTTCTGCGTAACCCACCAGTGCAATATTCCAGGAGCATATTTTGCAAACCAGTATGTCCACCGGACAAGATTCCTTCTATAGTCCTCTCTTATCAGCCTTTTGGGAAGAGAAGGCCAATTATAATTCACTACTGGGACTATCAGAGCTGCACCTGCTAACCTGCACAGAACCTTTCGAGTTAAGTAACAAACTCTTATAAACATGATTCAAATGCAAAAACTATGCAACTAGAATTTTTGACTGCTTTGCCTGTTTGGTATGTATTTGAGGCAACTCCAGATGGGGTATGATCCCATTGAGACTCCAATCACATAAAACTTGGATCCTATCTCTAATTGATCAGCAAGTTCTTGAATGTCAAGTGCTTCACTTTTGACTGACCGCCTTGGGTTCGGATCACTTTCTCCATACCCTGCCCGGTCATACAGCAGAAAATATATCCCCAACTCTTCAATCATCATCTGAAAATTCAGCATTTTCAATCACACACCACCAATTTGGTCATCGTGGAGTCGTAGGCATAACCAAAATTTTCTTGTAAATCATGCATATTGGAGTAAGATGATTCCTCGATGAATAAATTCAAACATGCTTAACGAGTATGGAACCAGAATCACTTCCAGGTCTTGTCTGCACCAAGTCATTTTAGAAGCTTCCATGTAAATTCAAAAGGTTCATTCTTGTTATCAAAACATCCAAATTGGTTTTATGCACAGCCTTTTGAGCAATTTCTATAAGTTCAAACCCATCATAAAATTAGTCTATATTACTAGGTCAACTCCCTTCCCATTTCATATCCCCTTCTCTCTGCTCTACTTAGATGCAATTTCCAATGAGAATGTCTAAAGCTTTAGATGAGAATATAAGAAGAAATAGAGAAGAGAGTTATGTTTGTACTTGAGGTGCCAGAAAATTCATTTCCTTGGAGCTTCCAAAACCATGAACAAGAACGATGTTGTACTTGGATTTGTTCTTGGCAACTCCTTGCTCCCTGTAAGCCAGATATCTTCCATCTCTAAGTTTGATTCTTGGTGATTTACCAGGAGGATTGTCTGGTGGCAGATCACTATGTGGTGGCGGAACTTCTGTTGCCTGATAAACCATTCCTACAAGACACAAATCACGAAAAAAAAAAAAAACTACTGTTTTTGCGACATCCTCAACCAAAACACAGAGAGGGAAGGGGGGGGGGGGGGGGGAGATAGATCTTGCAAACACAGTTCAAATTCATCAGTAACAGCAATATCCCAGAAGAAAAGATGTACTCACCTGGCTGAATCCTTCGAGCACTTATGTTGAATTCAAGGCAAGACTAAGTTGATGTTTATTTTCTTTTTCATTTATCTTACTTTTTACTCTTATTATATAGTAGCTGTAGCTTTTCTAAGGTAACAAGCCAGGTAGAGCAATAATTTTTGACTCTTGGAAAAAAAAATTCTATAATTCTTGATTGCTTGCAACTTATAAATTATGTAGATATCTCAAGTGGGGTTTCTGCTGCTGTGCTGCCATTGATGGTAGAAATGTTTTGAGTCATTTTTTTTTTGTTAAAGGAGTATGCCATTGCCCTACTTGGATATTCCTTCATCAGCAAAGAAGATATGGATATTCCTTTGCTACCAAAAACATAAGAATTGATTAGATTTTATTATCAAACTTGCCAAGAAAATATGTACATTCCTTTTATTACCTAAGAAAATTTATTCGAAGGGTTTTACTATGATGGGAGTTGGAACCTAATGCTTCTTTAGGCGTCTAAAAGAGTAGATTATAAATTAGTTCCTCTAAGTTTGAGAAAAGAATTAATTAGTCTATTTTATTAAAAAAAAATAATTATTTAGTTTTTTTGTCCATTTTATGTTCTTTTCTAATTGTTTTTTGGTTGATAAGATAGAAAAATAATAAATAGATGTTATTAAAAGATTTATGAGAAAAGAATATATTTTTTTAAAATAAATTAATATTAAATTAAATACAGTCAATTCTAATTATTTTTTGAAACAAAAAGAATTAATTAATTTATTTTTCAAAACTAGAGAGACTAATTTATGATTACTGTATAAAAGAGAAGGGTTTCAAGTTTCAATCACGATTCACAATGCCCCCTCTCTGTCCATCTTCACCTTTAGGTGGGCTTACATGTTTATTTCGGCTAAATTGTAAAATATCTTCTTCTTTTTTAAAATTTGAATGGAAAAATAAATACCCTTGAACTAAAAAATATTGATTTTTATCTTTTAAATACTATGATTTTTTTTATTTTTTTTGGTTAGGGTTTTGCTGAGAAATAGAAAATTCATAAAATTTCTCTCATTTTCTATGTACTAATTTAGAAAAAAAAACATATTTACTGCTATTAAAAAGCAAAAAATTGAGAGGATTTTTTTAAAAAATTTCATCAATTTTTCAAGAAAATCCTAATAGAAGAAAAAAAAATTCAAAAAATCATATTGTTTAGAATGTTAAAATCAAGATTTTCTTAGTTTAGAAAAAATATTTTCTTTTTCACTTAAATTTAAAGAAGTACTTGTAATTTAATTCAATTTTTGGAATTTTAAGCTATGCAATGGAGTTTTTTTTTTTTTTTCATTTTTAAATTTGATCTCATTATCTTTAAGATTTTAAACCTAAAATTTTTAGATAAAAATCTTAAATTTTAACTTCTTATTATTAATTCGTTAAAATATGTTTTTTGTCACGTGGTTTAGTAAATTTCATGGTTCACTTACTTTTTTTTTTTCGTTTTTTTTTTAATTCTTCCAAGAGGTAATTTGAATTTTTACAGTTTATCTGAATAGATAAGAAAATAAATTGAAAAAAAAGAAAAAAGAAAAAAGAAAAGAAAGACAGATTAATAACTCCAAGGACATAGCTGTCTAGACACATGTGGCTTGCAAAACCTGACAAAGTACGGGCAACGCTGTGCTGGGTTGTCAGTTTATGCAAAACATATTTTATCTGTAATTTATAAGACCATATATGAGTACATTATAAATTAGTTCCACTGATCTCAAGAAATAAATTAATTAATCATTTTTTAAATAATTATTTAGGTGCTTAACCAGAATTGATTATACTTAATTTAATATTATTTTATTTTTTAGAAATGTCTTTTTTTATTAATCTTTTCGTAATATTTGTTTGCTTTTCTCTTTTTTATTTTTTAAAATAAAAAATAAAACAAGTTGAAAAAAACATAAAATAGAAAAAAATCAAATAATTTGTTTCTAAAACAATAACATTTGTTTTTCAAAATTAGATGGACTAATTTATAATTTACTTGATTGTATTCCTTAAACAGCGAAACCATGTGCAGTCTAGAACTTTATTGCTTTAAATCTTTTAATGGAAGGGGAAATCAAGAATACTTATTGTTTCAAAAAGGAAAAAAGAAATCAATTATTACATTGATAGGTTATGCAAAGTGGCAAAACAAAATCTATCATGAGATGGATGATTCGTGTTGACGGTCTAATTAACTGTTAAAAAGTATTTTTTATCATAAAAAAAGTTCTATCTTTTTTTCTATTCTATGACATTAAATAACAATTCATGAATATGATTGTGAATATCATGGCTTTTTTTTTTTTTTTTTTTGTTTATAAATGTGAGAATATTCCAATATCTCTAATGAACATATTACCATCTCATATTACGTATCCCATGGGTTATAAATTCCAATCTAATTATTGTTGTTTAGAGAGATATGACACGTCCACTTGCAATTGAATTTACTAATAAAAAATTCAAGAAACTTCAATCTAAATACATGTTTTTTTTTTTTTTTCAATCTAAGTATATTTGATGCTAGGAAAGCACAAAGTTTTAATAAGGTTAAATGATCTAAATTTTTTCTAAATCATAAATCATTTGAGAATCAATTTTTTGATTTTAGATTGGATTTTTAAATATTTTTTATTTAAAATTAAATTTTTATATTTGGTTTTGATCCATTCTAATAGTAAAATAAAAGCGACTTCGCTTTTAACTTTTCCAACAGTTATGAATATGTCAAAACTTATGAGTTTTTTATTTTGTTTCCTTAAAGTGTGTTTTTAAAAAATATTTTTTAATTACTTATATTCTAGCGTTTAGGAAGGAAAAAAAAAGAGTTTTGAAAGAAAAAATAAACAATCTATAAGTTATGAGATTTTTTAACTGCTGAAAAAGTGCACTTATATATTAAAACTAATGAAAAATTAACAAAAAAAAAAATCAATTTTAAATGAAAAATATTTAGAAAAATTTTAATTTATAATTAAAAGTTAAAATACCGATTCTCAAATAACTTAAATTTCAAAATAAAATTGTACCGTTTAGCATTTTTTATAATATAAAGCAACTTAGATCCACACTTTTTAAATTTGTGTTGTGTATATCACTAGAATTTTAATTTATTGGTAATGGGGTCTCGATATTTATAGAGAGATCACTAATTTTAATTTCAAACATATCACTTGAAAAATGAAAAAAAAAAAAAGAATATATATATATATACACGCACACACCATTAGCCATGCACGTTGTACCGGACTGAATGGAGTGATTGTTTTGGGCTACTGGGATGATATGACTTGGGCTTCCCAACCCCATCTTCGTACAGTATATCAATGAATGATGGGCAGACTAGGCTAGGCCTCAAATCGTCAGCCTGTTATAATTAAGGCCCATGATGGGTTCCATGAGATGAACAGTCAATTATAAATTAATTACTCTCTCTATTTTCAGTATCAGTAAACAAATTAATTTTTTTTTGTTTTAAAAATTTATTATTAAGTATTTTAATCAGTCTTAATTTTTATTAATTTAATATTATTTTATTTCAAAAAATATCATATTCCCTCATCACTTCTGGCATATATTTTGCTTTTTATTTCAAACAAATCTAGAAACCTGGTTGAAATAAAAGATGCTAGTAGATATGTTAATAAAATATAAATACTTTTTATAGAAAGTAATTAATTATAAATACTAATAAATCGTATTATTTATTTATGATATCTTATTATGTTGTGATATGCGTAATCTTTTTGTTGGTTTTTTTTTTTTAAAAAAATTATGGTAAAAGTATTTTCGAATTAGTTAATTTGGATGTAAATCGAGACAAAATCTTTCAATCATTAATAATTTTTCTTATATATATATATATATATATATAGAAAAGAAAAAACATTAAAAATTTGGTAGGATAAGTAACATAAGAGATGGACAGGTGATTGCATTAGTGCAGGACAAAAAATTAGTACAGGTGAATGGAATAAGATTTGATGCTTATACATCATAAATCCTACCTATCTAATCCCACTACCTAATTAAAGCAATCATACATTAAGCCTTCATCGCTTCATCTCCCTACAAATATCAAGATATTGCTCTTTCTGATTTCAATCTCCTTAAGAATCAATCCGCAAGGTATATATGCTAACTTCTTTTTTAACTTGGTCTAAATTAATTTCTTCAACGTGAAGAGAGACCTCATTCGAAATGGGAGCAGATTGTAGGATCAAGCATGAATCCTTGGCATGGATTTGCACACCTAAGAGTTCTTCATCTCCAAAGAAAGCTTGAGGTTCTCAGACAATTCTACTCCAAAATCACTAGGAACCGAATTGAGGTTCTGAAGCAACTGAGCAAGCCAAAGCTCAACGGTGGCTAACCCCATAGCTTTGCCTGGACAAACCCTTCTGCCTGCCCCAAAAGGAGCCAACCTATGATCAGACACCATGATGTTAACTACTTCCTCCATAAACCTCTCTGGCTTGAATTCTTCAGGATCTGACCGGATCTTCTCGTCATGGGTTATCGACCACATGTTGACCATGGCAGTGGTGCCGGCAGGGATAAAATGGGGTCCTATTTGAGTGTCATGGATTGCTAGCCTAGCCCAAGAAAGAAGAGGAACTGGTGGGTGCACTCTTAACGTTTCTTTCACAACAGCCCGAAGGTAAGGAAGATTAGGCAAGTCAGAATTTCTGACTGAACGGCCGGTGCCAACAATATTGTCAATCTCTGCCTGGACCTTTGCTTGGACATCAGGGTGTAAAACCATTCTTGCAAGAATCCATTCTAGGAGGATTACCACTGTATCAGTGCCTTTGAAGATCATTTATTTCCTGAGGCAAGTCATGAAAGGAGAACAAAGTCATTAATAATTAGTTTCGTTTTAAAGCAAAGTCTTCAAAAAATGGAAAGTAATAATAAAACTGAGTTAATAATGTATAAAAACCTACCCATAAAACAGCAATCATGTCTGAGTCACTAAGCTTGTTCTCTTTTTGCAAGTCAAGTAACACGTCAACAAAATCACCTGAACTCCCATCTCTAATGGAATCTCCGTTTTTGCCATTCTCAACCCTTTTCATCTTACGTTCATCTATAATTTTCTCTACGAAAACGTTCACCTTTGCAGCCAAGTTTCTACATCTCCTCCTAACTCCCTGCGAATCTAACCAAGCCAAGAGAGGAAAATGGTCACTCCAATTGAAAATCCCTAACAATTGGTACCCTTCACTCACTAAACCCTCGAGCTCACATGCATCCACTCTGCTCTCATCACCAAGCTCATAACTCCTTCCAAACTCTCTCATTTTTTTGAAAACTTTGCTTTAAAACGAAACTAATTGTTAATGACTTTGTTCTCCTTTCATGACTTTGAAGGAATACCAACAATTTTAGGCAGTGATTTTAACTGAAATCAGTACAGTAACGAGACTAGCATTCGCTTGTCACGCCTGTTTGGTATATATTTGAGGCATCCCCGAGTGGGATAGCCTCCCATGGAGAATCCAAGCATATAGAACTTTGATCCTAGCTGTAATTTGTCTGCAAGTTCTTGAATATCAAATGTGTCACTCTTTACCGAGCGATGTGGATTTGGATCACTCTCTCTCTACCCTGCTCGATCGAAGGAGAGAAAATATATCCTCAACTCACGAATTACTTCCTGCATACAAATTCAGAAACCTCCATTCCATAAGTGTGGCAAAATCTTCAAAACAACATAAAGAATTTATCAACATTATTCTACCCGAGGAGCCATGTCCTTGGAGTTGTCAAAGCCATGAACCATGATGATTTTGTACTCAGATTTCTCTTTGGGCAACTCCTCTCTCTCTGTAAGCTAGATACCTTCCATCGCCGAGTTTGATTCGAGGAGATGTAACAGGAGGACCACCTGGAAGTCCACAAATATTCGGAGGGGGAGGCTGCATTATAGTCAGATAAGTCCATACCAGAAAACTAATCAACAGAACAATCACTGCCTTGGCAAACATCTCTATCACCACCACTTGCAAATTGAATCGACATAAAAACTAGTATTATAGGACTTGGGTGGCATAGATTCTAAGAACTAGATCGATGGCTTTTAGGAACTAAAAATGAAGTTCTTGAAGTTCCAAGAACCATCTCGATGCTGTGGCAGCTGTTTTTGTGTGGTTCTTGTAAAGGTACGAACTACTGGAAAGATATTTATTGCTAGAAACAGGCTTCAGACATTTGCCCCACCACAACATTAGGCAGCACAACAACTGGTCCAGTTGAAAAGCAGCACTCTTATGTGATGTGAGGACGGTTATTTAACGGTAATGGAGGACATGGTTCCTAATAAAGGCATGTAACGTATTGATTGTTATTTAAAACGGTAGAGCATGTCTATTTTCGTTTTTAGACGTTATAAAGAGTTTAATGATATTTCGTCGAAATAACAACGTTATATAATGATAATGAATATTATTAACAAAAAAAAAGAATTAGGGAGTTTATTATTCTTCTACTGTTTATGTTTATCGTGACCCAGATTTGTGGATGAAGACACAATTACACTGTGCGTCTCCTTTTCTTGCATCTCAGCCCTTGATTCTTAATCGTCTCATTTTTTTGTCGTTCAATTTCATTGGGTTGCATTTTAATTTGTTCATCTGCCATCAGCATTATATTCTTTCTTGTCGTCCATTTACCAGGTTAGTCTCGCTCAATACTGATTCTCTTTTGAGGGTCCCAATCATTCTTTATTTGGAATCTCCGGCCATGCATATGTTCTACGTCTGTGGTTTTTAATTATATCATTTGTTTTGCTTCGCTGCAAAATTGTTAGCATTATCCTAAATCTGTCGTTCAAACAAAATTTACAGCAACATTTGTTTCTCGACATTCCTTTCTGAACATGATACGCCAAAGTTCACTTGCAAACGTAAATATTTAAGCAATCTTTTAGCTAGAGATCAAGACGTATGCCTCTTTGAAAATATAACTTCCCTCTCATCTCAACCATTTTCCCTATCAACCAAATATCCTCTCCAATTTGAAAAAATAACTTCACTCTCATCTCAACCATTTTCCCTATCTACCACTTATCCTCTCCAATCAAAAAGAAAATGGCAGAAACTTTTGCAACAGACATTGCCAAATCCCTTTTACGGAAGCTAGGCTCTTTTGCAGTTCGAGAATTTTGTTTGGCATGGGGATTTGCAGGTGACCTTGCACGTCTTGAAGAGAGATTGTCAGCCATCAATGCGGTTCTGTCGGATGCCGAGAGGAAACAATCACAAAATGACAGCATTAGGCTTTGAAGTTAACGATCATGTAAGCCTCCAATGGCCACCAAAGAGAGCAATCAGGACTCGAACCTGAGACCACAGGGGAGCAAACCCCTTGATACCAAATCTTTTGCAGCTGCGTCACCCCCTGGTGCTGTAATTGATTTATGAATTATTAACCATTCAACCTTTTAATAGCAATATTTAAACAGTGAGGAATGGGTTGTTCACTTTTTGCTTAACAACTTGCTGAGAAATCCTTTTTTTTTCTTATAATCATTTTGCATTAAACAATTGACGTTTATTATTGTTGTCCCTTCTTAGCTGCAACTCATGGACTTCATTTGTAGCTGCGTGTCCCTGTATGTGAATGTTTCTAGCCCAAAAATATTTTTAAGAACATTGTTTGACAAAGGCGGCCCTGGCATAGACTTCGTTTGTAGCTACCTGAAAAAACAGAGGTAATAACATCATCATAATATTAAAATTCAATCATTTTACACATCTTTTATATAACTTATTTAAATTGATATTACAGTGCAACTAATGTTGGAGGCAAGCCGCAGACTCTTATAACCAAAGGTCGTGAGCTTAAGTTTCAAACTTTCTTAACTTTTTGAGATATGAAACCACTAGAGTATTGGTTGTATTGTTGCATAAATCTTTGTTATGTTAATGCAATGATTGTCTTGAATTGCTTTTTTTTTTTTTACAATCTTAATCCCTTAGTACCAGTTCTTTTGGTATTTTTGTTTTGGAAAAAAATATCTGCAACCACAACTTTAAAAACCTGGATGTATTTACTTGTTAATATATGTTTGTGTATGTGTGTTTCTGTGTGTGCCTGCATCATCTGTCTTTTTTCGATTGCAACATACTTTCTATGATCATTTGTGTCCTATTTATGGATAAATATAAATATTTATTTACTCTTTCAGTTATTCCAATTCCTTTTGCAAATCTTGAACAACGATTCTACTCACACATGATTAAATTATTTCACGAAACTTATGATTATTAGTTTTCAACACTCAGCTCTCCACTGAACCTTTAAAAAAGTGAATGCATTGGTCTGCCAACAGACATATTTGACAACCCAGAAGGCTTGCCAACAAAATAGTGATGTTTGTTGCTAGGCCAAACATCGGTTGGATCGTTATTTTACTATCACAATCGCGATTGCAACTATTTTTATAACCACATTCGTAATTTAAAATTGATTCAGAGCTCTCTAGTCTAGAGATGCTACGAAAACAATCAAAGGCTGTTCATTCCTAATTTAAAATTGATTCAGAGCTCTCTAGTCTAGTGATGCTAAGAAAACAATCAAAGGCTGTTCGGACCCCAAAATCCACTTCTATGATGTATTTTTAAACCCTTCTGCGATTTAGCCCAAAGACATCGTTAGGATTCATGTCTTATAATTTCGGATTTTTAACTTCATGTTTATTTTAATTACAAATTGTTTGGGGTATTTGTTCCCCGAATTTGCTTTCATTAAGATTGTAAGAGAATACTTAGTTTTTCCATCAATAAAATTATTGGCTAATCGTTGAGTCACTGATTACTCCGTTAACGGCAATTCACTTGCCTACTCCCTGGAAACCAGTAGCTGTCATTCCAATGAATGAAGACAGAAAATAAGAATTAGGTTGCAGATATGGCGTTGAATGCTTTCTTACTGGCTTGTCTGTGTAGCATAAGGCAGCACCTCAAAGCAAAACTACAGCATAAACCAACTACTAAAAATCTGTACAGTAAGAACCGAGTTTCATTCTATTATCGACAGCCGACTCTCAAAGGAAGAAGATTTATTCTAAAGTAGTATACAAACGAAAATTGACGGCACATAGGCAGTTTATTGAACTAGTAATAATGATAAGGAAGGCCTTAACCAAGCAAAAGTGCCCTTACTATTGCTTCACATGGCTCAGCTTTGAACAACATCAAATGCCCAGCATCAGGAACCTCGTGATAACGAATCCATGGAAGCTTCTCAGCAATGTATCGATTTATTTCAATAGGAATGATTCTATCTTCACAACCTTGCCAAATGTGGACGGAACCCTCATTATTAGGGAAAGGATTACTTATATCCATGATATCAAATTCCCATTTCGCGTAACCTGCTATTATGTCTCGATACAATGATTCATGGAGACCTTGTTGGCGAATCTTTTCCTGTATTCAGAAAAATAGCAGTCTTAGACCATTGCTGAAAAGAAATAGTAGTTTCATTGGCATTGACATGAACATACAGCCATTTTTTTTTCCCGAACAAATGCTGCATACAAAAGTAACTACCTGGCCAACTCTTGGAGTTTCAGACAAACTTTTAATGATCTCCATATCTGGAGGGCAAAAAAGGTTCATGTTTCCAGCCATAAGAGATAATGTTGTGAACCACTTCTGAGTCATCCACCAGTAGAATAGCCAAGGGGTGTGATGTGCAACTCGAAATGTCCTTTGATCAGGCACGGGAAGCCTTTGGAAGCCCTCTTTTGAAACATTAGCAGGGAGCGAAGGCCACCAGTAGTGCACAAATGGAACTACCAAGGAAGCTCCAGCCAACCTTTGAGTAAGAAAAATACTAGAAAACTCAGAAGTAACTATCAAATTTCAACATTGAAAACAAGTTTAGGAGTTGAAATCTCATGCCTGTGTGGTATATATTTAAGACAGCCGTATACAGGATAGGCCCCCATTGACATTCCAATTACATAAAATTTAGACCCAATCTGCAATTGGTCAGCTAGTTCTTGTATATCATATGCTTCACTCTTTACTGAGCGTGATGGATATGGATCACTCTCTCCGTAACCTGCTCTATCGAAGAAAAGGAAATATATGCTCAGCTCCTCTATAATTTCCTGAAATCAAAGTTCACTGATGAATTAGCAGATAAAACAGAAATTCTAATATCATTACATATGTACGAGAAGGATATATATACACCGAAAGACATGGCACAAACAAGATTGGGCAATAGCATTTTATGAAACAAACCTATTGACTAGTATTGATCAGACAACTGGTACATCTCAATCTAGTATTAAAGCAACTAAAGATCAAATGGACATTCAATAAAACAAACCTATTGACTAAGTGTTACCGATTAGGCAATAGCATTTTATAATATTAATCAAGAATAAATCATAACTAACTAATTAGGGAATTGTGTTGTGAGATCCATAATTGTTAGGTGTTTTAATTAGATTTTCCACGTGTTAGGGAGTCAGATTAGACAATAGTCTTTTATGATTGTATTCTGCTTTTAAGACTTCTATATTATATAAGGAGGAGATGAAAATTGAATAAGATATTGAGAGAATTACACTCAGAAGGGTAGGGAGAGTTGGGAGGTTTAAGGACAAACCTCCATTGTTATTGTCAAAATAGGGTTCTCTGGGAAAGGCAGGAACATGAGCAAAGGAACAAGAGAGGATTTCCGTATACAACGACCTGTGACATGATCCTTGTCTTGAGACCATAACAGATTGGTATCAAAGCTTGTCGTCATAGGTGAATATGAATAGATGACAACCAGGGTGCAGGATCCAGATCATCGGATGACACAGTTCAATCAGCTGATTAGTCAAGAGCTACGAGAGTTGAGGGACAATATTCAGGCTATGCAGCACATGATGGAATTACAGTCTCTAAGCAAGGGCAAGTCCGTAATTGCGAGATAGGTCCAGCAGTAGCAGCCAACAAGTAACTAAACCCCATACGGAACATCATGAAAGGCGTGTGGGAACAGCTGTAGTTCCTAGTTACTCTAAACTAGAGTTTCCGTTCTATAATGGAGTAGAGGACCCGTTGGGATGGCTATATCGGTTTGAGCAATTCTTCCTCAACCAACGAACAGGGGAAGAGGAAAAGGTGGGTTTGACAGCTTTTCACATGACAGGTGAGGCTCAATTATGGTTTTTTCGAATGGACCAAGAAGAACCTTGGCTCACATGGGAACAATTCAAGTTTTATTGTCTACTTCAATTTGGACCTCCTTCGAGTAGCAACCCACTAGGAGAATTGGCTAATCTCAAACAAGCTAGGAAAGTGGAAGAGTATCAAAGTCAATTCCAGACACTCCTAGCTAGAGCTACTTCTGTCAGGTCTGATCAACAGGTCGATTTGTTCACTGCAGGACTCATAGAGGCACTAAGGGTGGATGTAGAGAAGCAGCAGCCTTCTAATTTGGTTACAGCTATGAGCCTAGCTCGGGCTTTCGAACGAAAGCTGCAACACTCTGGCAAAATTGGAAAGAGAAGCACTCCTAACTGGTTTCCTCCCAAAATGACAGGTTCAGCTCCTCCACTCACTGTCAACCGTGAATCAAAACAGGCGGGAGGCAGTTTGCCCATGGTTTTTGACACAGGAAGTACATCAATGCATTTCATGAAGAAGTTATCAAGAGCAGAGATGGCAGAGAGGCAAGTAAAGGGATTTTGTTACAATTTTGATGAGTCATTCTCTGCCGAACACCGGTGTAAACGACTCTGGCGAGGAATCAGACCTGTCATGGATCCTGAAGTCTCCCTCAACGCCATAACAGGGATTAGGAATGCACCCTAATAATGCTACATGAGAATCGGTCACTGCCTTGCAAGAGTCTTATCCTGCATTTGAGCTTGAGGACAAGCTCATTGTCCAGGAGAGGAGTAATGTTATAGATTAGGCAATAGCCTTTGATAATATTAATCAAGAAAAAATCATAGAAATAAATTATAACTAACTAATTAGGGAATTGCATTGTGAGATCCCTAGTTGTTAGGTGACTTTACATGTGTTAGGGAGTCAGATTAGGCAATAGCCTTTTATGCTTGTATTCTGTTTTTAGGAATTCTCTATTATATAAGGAGGAGATGAAAATTGAATAAGATATCGAGAGAATTATATTCAGAAGGCTAAGGAGAGTTGGAAGGTCTCTTAAGGACAAACCTCCATTGCTATTGACAAAATAGGTTTTTGTAGGAAAGACAAGAACATGAGCAAGTGAACAAGAGAGGATTTCCCTATACAATGACCTGTGACGAGATCCTTGTCTTAGAACCATAACACTGAGATCATTTTTTTTTTTTGTCAAATACTTGTCAGCAAACCCCTGAATGTTTCATTTCTTTTGTATCTTGAGATGGTTTTGGAAATATATGAATCTAAGGTGAAGACAGTCCGAGTCCCAGATTGACTCCTCCTCTCCCACCCAGCCAACCTCCAATCTAATCCAAGCAGCGACAGAGATGCTACATGAGTAATACTTGCCTTGAAATTGCTTCATATATCACAAAACAAATATACTTGAAGCATAAAGAGTAAATTACTGAGGTAAGATCACAAGCAATAATTCTCAACAATAGTTGTTGCTGAATCTTTCTGATCATTGAACTTGTACTACAGCTCAAGTTGTTGATGGTGTTTCCATCCGCCTCATTCAAGGAAAATTTTACCAATCACTTCCTATTGTTAATCTGAAAAGGCATGTTTAACCTCAATATTTGTTTCCAGTATCCCCCTAACAAACAGGTATCAATGCTAAAAAAGTGACCAACTTTTCATGCCTACTGCAGTAAAGTTAAAGGATGAAGACAGTGAATTCAAGCATAATCTCATCACAAGCTGCAACAATGAAACAGGGAAATGAGTGAATTCAGTTTTTACCTGCGACAAGGGTAAATTCACATCTTTGGAGGCATCAAAGCCGTGAACGACGATGATTTTGTGCTTAGCCTCTTCTTTAGGAACGCCCATCTCTCTGTAGGCCAAGTGCCTCCCATCACTGAGTTTTACTCTGGGTGAAGTGATAGGAGGACCACCTGGAGACCCACATATCTTTGGAGGGGGAGGCTTTAGTGTCTGATAAGCCCAACTTAGAAGACCTGCTGCCAATGCCACTGCTACTGCAGCAAACATTGCTGGAAATTGGGAAGAATGACAGAATATAGTGTTAGCAACAAAATTATTTAAGAAATAAAGGGTAAAGATTGGATCAAATATAGGAGTTTAAGAACCATGGAAGATTGATCTTGGAATATTTTGAGAAAATTAATGCATTAAAGGCAGAGTAAATGTAGGGTAGGTTCTCCTGGAAATTAGAGGGACTTTATGAAGTTGAGGGAAGATATCATTCTTCAGTCAGAACCTTTCGCTCAACCAACTCTTTACCAATTAGCAAACATCTAAGGCCCGTGCTTTCAACACAGCTCTGGTCAACTTTAAGTCTATTGTGTAGTCTAATTTCTGCTCAACTTCTATAAATAGCAACAAAATGTGCAGATATGTGAACAAGCTTGATTCGAGATGAACTAACCTTTAATTATGCCCTACTATACCAAAGCAATTGAACTCTAGATGAGTATGAATCCAAAACTTAATTTCTTTGCTTTAGATCAAGATCGTTTCTTTAGATTCACATAAAATGTAATTGCCACCACCAACTTAAGACAAAAAATTTCCCAGATTTTCAATTTCTAACGCATTAATTTGCTAAAAAAGAATAAAGAAAATAATTCATGCAATTCAAACAGAATTCCAATATACTATAAGAAACAGAAACAAAAACAAGAACCCACTAACAAGAACTAAGATCAAAGAGAATAAAAAGATGAGAGAAAACCACCTGGAAAAAGTGAAAAAGAAGAGGATTTAGCTTTGTTTCTGCGAGTATGAGCTCTTGCTGATGCAGCTGATATCTTCTTGCTAGACCCACCACCAACCATTCTACTTAAAAACAATAATTAAGGTAGTCTTACGTCACTAATTTTCAGACAATCGTACAGGGAAACTGAAAAGGAACCACTTGAGGATCTGACCGCACATCTCAGTTAGATGCTGACATCAACTGATCATATGATATTTTCTAGCAAGCAAAGAGAGTACCAGGACAAAAATGTGCTTGCATTAGAACAGTAGTTGACTAGTCTAGTGAGCTTTCATGTTTTTGTCTCCCTATAATTGGCTTTTAACATTCCAAAAGGCAAAAAGTTAGTTCAAAAGTGATGTACTTTCTGCTAAGATTGTCATAAATATTGTAATCTTAAACTTCACGATGTATTAGATGGTTCAAAACTATGTAATACATACATACATATATATATATATATATATATATATATATATATTATGTTGTTCATATTTGTATGTATTTAAAGAAAGTAGGTTTTTAATAAGTGCTCTGCACTTGTATTATTTAACTATTTTTATTTTTTAAGTTAAAAAAATTGTTTTTTTCATACGAATTAAAAAAATTATTAATTTTTATGCCAAATCTTTTATTCATATTTTTTAAAAAATACCTATTTTTTAAGAATTATTCACCATCAAAATAAATTTTAATTAAAAATATTTTTGAAAAGTAGACAGTTGTAATATTTTTAGATTTTATTAAATTGATTTTTTTAATTCGAATAGTTTTATATAAAACTTGACGATTTATAATCAATTTAGTTTATTTGATTTTTAAAGCATATAAATAAAATTTAATTGCATTGCATATATATATATATATATATATATATATATGAACTCTGTCTTTCTTGCAAAAATAGAAGAAAAAAAGGAGACATGGTTTTATTATTATTGTTATTGTATATTAATATTATTGGTTTTTTAGGGCTAAGAATTTTTTTCCTAATTATTTAGTTATGGATTATAAATTCATTTTATCATATATATATATATATATCATCAATTTCATTGTTGGAAATTTACAAGCATATTTTTGGGCCTAGTAGATAGGTGCTTAATAGGATCCCGATACATGAGATATTAGCCTAGAGCTTAAGAAGACTAGGCCCATCACATTTACAAAGCCCAAATCGTTGAAGCCCATGAAAATAATTGTTGTTGCTCCATCCCACATTTCTTGCAATCTCTTGCATATGATTTTAATTTCAATTTTTTATAAATATTTTATTAATTTAATCTATATATATTGCCATATAAAAATATAAGCAACAAAAGGTGAATAATGGTTTTACTCATTTAATTTTTATTTTAAAAAAAATTGCTACTTTATTTAGAGGGGATTTAAAAAAAAAAAAAAAAATCTATCCATAAGTTAATAAAAACAAAAAAAATGAACTTGACCAATATGCATAGTCTTTTTTTCCCACCAAATTATATGTATGAATCGAGTGCATAAAAAATGAGCACCATTTAGCAGTGTTTTTTTTTAAAAAAAATCATAAATGTTTCATTTTATGTTTCTCTCCCTACCATTTAATAATCATCATTCATTCATTCATGAGTAAATTATAAATTAGTCCTTTTAGTTTTTAGAAAGAAATTAATTAGTCCTTTCTATTTTAAAAACTAATCATTTAATTTTTTGTCCATTTTATCTTTTATTCTACTTTTTTTGAAAAATAGAAAATAAAAAAATAAATGGATATTACAGAAAGATTGAATAGGAAAAAAAAATTGAGATAAAATAATATTAAATTAAACGTATTTCACACTTGGAAAGAGACTGAATAATTAAAATTTAAAACACGAGTGATTAATTATTTTATTTATCAAAACTAGAAGGACTAATTTAAAATTTATTCATTCATGTGAAAACAAGGCTTGTGCAAGGCACAGGTCAATCTTAAACCAGTTAGGACTTAGGAGTTTAAGATGACAAAAAAGGACCCAAAAGGAAAAATTAATTGCATTTGTTAATGGGTAATTATGGTATTAACATTGGGCCTTTAAATGGCCACAAGAAAAGCCCAAAAAACCTGAAGGAAAGGGTGTGGAGAGAGCACGAAAGGGAGTGTGTAGTTTTTTTTTTTTTTGGGGGTGTTGGCGTCTCTTCTCTCTTTTATTATCACCACAGAAGTCAGTTGTGGTTTTAAGCTATTTCTGCTCCACTATTTTGGATCTGCTTATACTTTTCAGACCATCTTTACTCTTCTTGTAAGTTGATCTTTTCATTTCAAAGATTCTTAGATCTGTAAATAACACTAGGGTTTTTTTTTTTTTTTTGCGTGAAATGCTTGTGTTCTTGTACGGGTTAAGGTTGTATTTGGTGATGACGTAGAGTTGTTTGTATTAGTTTTGTGAAAATAAAAAATGGGTTTTGGGAATTTTGAGGTCGTTGTTGGTGGGTTTTGTTTGAATGTTGTAAAAGTTGTCGGAGTGCTATTTTTTAGGTTCTGGTGTATTTTGTCTGATTTGGAGGAAAATAAAGATTCGATTTTTATGAGTATTTGTAATTGGAATGTTAATAGAAGGTTCAATTTTTGTCTGTTTTATAGAAAAAAGATGAAATTTTTAGTGTTTAAGGTATAGGAGTTGTGTGGATTAGATTAGGCCTCCTTGTTTCTGGGCGTCGTTTACAAATGGATTGTAATTTTTTCATGTTTTCTTTTTGTGTAAAAATGTCTCCTAGTTACTTGGGTTTTTGTTTCAAAGTTTAAAGTTTTGATATGTGTAAGTTCTGCAGTGTTGGAAAAATTGTTTTGGATGATATATGGAGAAGCTAATGATTTGCCATTTCTAAGAAATCACTGTAGTTGAAAGACAAGGATTTATACTTTTCTAGGATGTGGACTGTGTAAAAGGCTTGTGATTTACGAAATTAGAACTTGAACTGTTGTTTTAAGGCATTGTCTCTGTTCTCTACTCCCATCTTTCTTTCACTCTTTTTTCCGAATATAATTCAGGTCTGAATTATTCTTTATATTTGTAGCAAGTGAGCCTTTTTCTTTTCTTTTTTCTCCTGTGATTTTGCTGAAAAATCAAATAGAGTTGCCAGAGGAAATTTATGGTGGTATGGGAGTTTTGTGTGAAAATATAATGTAGGGCTAAGTTTAGAGGCTGAAGTTTTAAAGGTAATCAATTCTGGTGAGGAAAATTAGAGATCTGTGATCAGAATTTTTTGCTTCTAAATTAAACATTTGACTCTTGCATATATGTCTATTCATATGTGTTTGTAATTCTTCTTCTTGTTTTCTTTTCCTTTTGTTTTTAGTGAATTTAATTAACAGAAATGGCTGGAGGAGGGGTGATCCACCAGCTTCTGAGGAGAAAACTTCAGTTGCACCCTGGTGTAAGAATTACCTTTCCTTATTTCAATTTAATGTTCCACAATTGGTTTATGTGTTTTTTAGTCAACTTGTGGTCCCTATTGCATGTACATTCATGCTTTGGATTTCTAATCTAGTGTGCATATTTATACGGAAATTTTTAGGGGCAATTCAATTTTCTTCTACTTGTTCTATCCACAGTAGGAAGAGAGGCATTGGTTCGGACATTGGAATGTATGTTCTTAGTATGCATCTAAGTACTACAATCTCAGTTGCTAAGTAGCTTGCACAATTTTGCAGGTCCCTTCAGTTTTATCTTCCTTCACTTCGAAGAAAGTTCATGATGATGCTGGATCTGTGGGTATGAAGTCCCTAAGAGCATTTGCATTACTTGGAGCTGGACTTTCTGGGTTTCTGAGTTTTGCATCAATAGCATCCGCTGATGAGGCTGAACATGGGTTAGAGTGTCCAAACTATCCTTGGCCTCACCAAGGGATTCTAAGTTCATATGACCATGCTTCGTGAGTATATTTCTCTGTCCTTTCGTGTAGAAACGAGTTTAAGCCCACAATTTGACTCAACTTAGAAAAAGCTTAATGGTTACTACTTCAGTTATGTATGCTTATATCCAAGCTATCGTCAGCCTCACAAAGGGATTCAAAGTTCACATGCTATGCTTCCTGAGTTTGATTTTTCATCTTTTTCGCATATAAAATGTGCACAATTTAACTTGACGTGGAAGAAGCTTAATGCTTGTTACATCATTTAAGTTATTTACACTTAAGGCTTTACCGTGATCTAAAGATATACTATTTATTCTATTCATTTTCTTCATGAACCACAATGCTGTTCCTACAGTTTCAGTGGTTTTTTTCTCAGGTACAATATATATCTGCAGTAGCACATTCTCATAAATTTGCACCGTTAAAATTCTGCTTTCAAATTTTTTTAATGTGTTATTAGAAGAAAAAAAATTGTAAAACCTTTGCTTTATTTATGTAACTTCTGTTTTCTTCTTAGTCTCTGGTGGTGGCTGTGTATGTGCAAAAATCTACCTGGATAATTTAGGATGTTATCATATAAACTCGGTTTAAGTTATTGCTTGCAAATAAATTACAATCTCTGTGTGGTTAATGAGATTATTTTTTCATGAGCAGGATTCGTCGTGGTCACCAGGTTTACCAGCAAGTATGTGCATCTTGCCACTCCATGTCCCTGATTTCATACCGTGATTTGGTGGGTGTTGCATATACAGAAGAGGAGACTAAGGCTATGGCAGCAGAGATTGAGGTGGTTGATGGACCTAACGATGAGGGTGAGATGTTTACACGTCCTGGTAAACTCAGTGACCGTTTTCCTCAGCCATATTCAAATGAACAAGCGGCTAGATTTGCTAATGGAGGAGCATATCCTCCTGATCTAAGTCTTATTACGAAAGTAATACCTACCTTCTTGTTTAGAATTTTTTTGGAAGTTGTATTGTCCATTGCAGAATTATCTTACACTTTGTTCTTCCAGGCTCGTCACAATGGTCAAAACTACGTGTTTGCTCTTTTAACTGGTTACCGTGATCCTCCTGCTGGTGTTTCGGTAATTTCTGCTCAATTTTCTTTTACAACACAAGTTTTTGCATAGCACATATTGGTTTCTTTATATAGCTGAGAGGAAAATATGAATCATAATCTCATATAAGATACGCAGAAGTTCTTTGGCTGATAATTTAGTGCATGGATGCTTTGCTGATTGACAACTTTGGTATTGAAAAAAATACTTAATTGATAGGCAACTTTGTTCAAGAAAAAAACTTTTTCGTGATTCAAGATGCATTTTGTGCTTCTCTTTGCTTGTGCAAGTCGGTTTTGATTGGTAGAAAAGTCCCTTTTTCTCTGCTGGAATGGAAAAGTCTCTTTTTAAAATTCTCAGTTAAGATTGTGTGAAATGCTTGTAAATCCATCTTCTTCTTTGAAAGGGAAGAGTGTTTTTTTTTTTCCCTCCTGTTTTTCTTCTTAATGTTATGGACCATGTTCTTTTACAGGTATATCTGTTGTTGAAATGATGCTTTATCATGAAGTTTGTTTGTCCATGTTTAAAATTACAAATATCTTGTTCTCATTTATGAAGATTACTATGCTTTCCTGTACTTGATGGTTGTCTTGTTTTCCACATCTAACCCAAATATATTTTCAAAACCCTATTGTAGATCCGAGACGGTTTGCACTACAATCCTTACTTTCCTGGGGGAGCTATTGCCATGCCTAAAATGCTCATTGATGGCGCTGTTGAGTATGAAGATGGTGTCCCTGCAACAGAAGCTCAGGTTAGTTTCCACATTATATTTGTTGCTAGGTGTCAGGAGAGGCATTAGCTGCAAGATTGGAATATATTGTTTATCTGGTAATCTCACAGTTTTAATGTTATTATTTGTGTTGCAGATGGGAAAAGATGTTGTGTCATTTTTGTCATGGGCTGCGGAACCAGAAATGGAAGAGAGGAAACTGGTATCTTGGCTTAAAAATATGTTTTCAGCACCTTATGTCTATAAGAATTTACTGTACCTGACAGCATGTGCTTTCTGATGCAGATGGGCTTTAAGTGGATATTTGTACTTTCCTTGGCTTTGCTTCAAGCAGCTTATTACCGGCGTTTGAAGTGGTCGGTCCTTAAGTCTCGCAAGCTGGTTCTTGATGTTGTCAATTAGCTACTATCGGTTTGTTCTCATTCTTATTTTTTGAGAGGACTTGGATTGGCAATAATTGCTTTGTAAGAAAACTAGGTTTTCTTTTCTTTTTTTTCTTTTTTTTTTATTGGTTGTTCTATTACATTGGTGATGGAGTGACCCAAAGAGTCCTCTGGGAAATTGAGGTAGAAAATAAGCTGCTCCATACTTGTAACACATTAATGCTGCTACTCGGACATGAATTTTTGTTAAATTTCTTTCTGGGTGATGATATATCCTCAGCTTGTTTTGCTCCTTTCAAGTTCTTCAAATAATCTTTGATACTTATAGTTTTTGGGGGCAGAAAAGCGCAAAATCAAACTATCTGCATATTCTGGCCCCTGAGAATCGCCATCTCCACATTAAAATCCTAGTTAAATCAGGAGCTGTCTTGATGTCGTCAAACACTGCTCTGGCTAATTGAACCTGTTATTTTCTATTTTTGGGTCACTTGAATCTGTCATTTGCTGAGTAAAATACAAATTTCTTCTTTTAGTTTTGAGAGATGAATTAATTAATTTTTCTTGTCTTAAAAATTAATTATTTTGGTTATATATTTTTTAATTTTTTTGTTACCTAAAACTTTTTTGTTCTTTGTCAATTTATTTTGTTTTATATATATAAATGATTGATGAGAAGATATGATGTTTTTTAAAATACAATAATATTAAATTAAATGTGATCAATATTGATTAAATAACTAAATAGTTAATTTTTAAAATAAAAAATTAATTAAATTGGTTTTAAAAAATAAAGGAACTAATTTATAATTTACTTGTCATTTACTAGTTATATTATCTCCAGTTTTGTGATATTTATGTTATGTGGAAAAGTTATTTTTTTTAATTATAAAAACCTGCTCTTGAAACTTTAGTGTGTTTTAATTTCTATTCTCCGATAAAACCCTACAGTTCGTAGTCAGGTACGACTGTTGTTCGGCAGTTAGTGGGATAATGAAATCATATTATTATGACCACGATCCAATTGGTCGCCGCTACAATGTTGGAGGACTAGTCTGGCCTCTACTACAAAGTTAAGGGGCTAATCTGAAACTTTTTTATATCCAGGCATGCTTATGTTTAGTTTGTTTGACAGAAACAACAACATTCAATTAAAAAAAATCTTTGAAGTTATTTTTTAAGAAATTATTTTAAAAAAATATATTTTTTGAGATTTGATAATTGCATGAAAAATAAAAATAAATTATTAAATTATTTATTATCAAAATAATCTTAAGATGTAAAAATAGTTTTTAAAAATATTTAATATATTTATAAATTGAAAAATTAAATGTTAGTAAAAATAGAGAAAAAATAATTACATAATTACTAATAATTAATAAGAAATAATTAATAATTAATTTGATATATTTTAAATAATAATAAAAATTATTAAAATATACAAAAAATGAGATGAGTAACGTTAGAGCTCGAGCTCGACAGCTTGCCAGAGAAAAAAAATCTATTTATTGATTTTTTTTTAAGATGAAACAAAAATCTAAAAGCAAAAAAATATATAGAAAAACAAATTCGTCCAAAGAAACACAACCTTAATCTCAAATCCCACAACCCACCGCAACCCCACCCCCCCCCCCCCCCCAAAAACAAAAGGATAAGAATCTCACTATGCCAGAAGCTCGGTGATAATTATACATCAGTTCCACTTGGTGCCATCCATTTGGCTCCGATAGAGTGGTCAAGGGAGAGGCTGTGCCCTGTGTCTTGACCAGGCCTGCAGCTTTTTCCTAGGCTTGGGCCCAGGTCTTGCCTGAATTGTTAAGCTGACCTTTTTCAGAATAAAGAGAAAAAAAAATTAATGCAAACACAATTTTGTGGTATCTTTTATCATTGTAATATATAAAGCATTGGCCCTACGAAAAAAAATCTAATTTCTATGAACTATTTCAATTTTTTTTTTTTTTTTTATGGATCTTAGTTTTTTACGTGATTAATTTGTTCAATTTGATTGAAATATTATTTTTATCCCATGATTTCCCTACAAGTGTAAGAATCTAACTATGCCAGAGGCTCGGTGATAATTACATAGCAGCCCCACTTGGTGCCATTTGGCTCCTATGGAGTGGTCTCACCAACTACATGTAGTCAAGGGCCTGGGTCTTGACCAGGCCTGCAGCTTTTTGCTAGGCTCGGGCCCATGTCATGCCCTGTTTATTAATCTGACTTTTTTCAGAATAAAGAGGAAAAAAAAAATTTTGATGCAAACACAATTCTGTGATGTCTTTATCATAGTATTATATAAAGCATTGGCCCTACGAAATAATTCTAATTTCTATGAACTATTTCAAGTTTTTTTTTTTAATGTGGATCGTAGTTTTTAACATGATTAATTTGTTCAATTTGATTGAAATATTATTTTTCATTGCCATATGCATGTTAGGTTTTCTTACATTAATATAAGTAAAACTACAAATAATGAATTAAAAGCAAAAATATGTGAGATTTAGATAATAATTTCTATGAGCTCTTTAAATTTATTATTTTCCAACATCCTTTTGTGACTATGGAAGAAAATTTATTTTTTTATATATAGAATATAGAGAATTAATAATCATATATAGAGAGGTTGAGGATTTATAATCATATAATGTGTCCTTTAAATTTAATATTTTTCGATGTATTTTTATGACTATCGCAGAAAAAGCTATTTTTTTTCGATATGTAGAATATAGAGGATGATCATATATATATATATATATATATATATATAGAGAGAGAGAGAGAGAGAGAGAGAGAGAGAGAGAGAGAGAGAGAGAGAGAGAGAGGTTTAGGATTTATAACGTGTCCTTTGATAACAATTGAGTTATGAAACTGTTCCACCGTGGTTAAGAACCTCTAGATTCAAGTCTACAAATTTAGGGTTTGGCCGAAATACCATGCCAAGGGACCATTCTAATAATTAGGTTGATAGTTTTGTAGTGAATTATTGGGTCATGATTCGTTGGCTAATTGAGGCTTCAGGACTTGTTTGTTATCATGCCTTTTACCCGGTTATAAATTGATGGAAACTCCTAATTAAGTCTATCAAATGTTTCGAAAAAAATTAATAACACTTAGTTTCACTAAATTTAGCAAATTCATAAAATTTAAGGTTAATGATATTTAAATCTATCCTTACATAATAAATTAATTTTTTAATTTGTTTTTATATTCTTCATTGAATCAATTTTATCTTTAAATACTCGAGGCTAAATTATCAAAATTATATATTCGAATGATTTGCATATGACTATATTATCATCCATATTTCTAATGTTAAGAAATGTCATAAAAAGAATTAATTTTTATTAATGCACATTTATGCACGGATAAATTATGTAAGATTATAAAGGAAAATAATTTAATCCCAATATATAAAAACTAATTAGAAAATACTCTTACCAAACTATTGTGATTTAAAAAAAAAAAAATTATGCACTTCATAATTAGTAATGCCCAACTAAGTAGGTAAAAACAATATGACAACTTTCAAACTTTGAGTAATTTTACTTTCTAGTCTTAACATTTAATTAAATTATCAATTATACCCTTCAACTTAGATTTATGTATTTTACAAAGAAACACATGGTTTGCAGCCTACAAATAAACTCTCCTCCATGGCACATTATCAGTAGCCTTTTCCTTTTCCTTTTCCTTTTCCTTTGTTATTTGATTTTCAAACTTATCCTTATCTCTTACCCTCCGGCCCCCACCACCCCTTTAAAGTTGAGTTCCCCGGCTGAAAAATACCTACTGGTTTATCCCATGAGCTATTCTCCTGCAGGGTGGTACGTAACTTAGGCCAAGGGTTTTTAACCAGGAACTGACCTGTTTCTTAAGATTAATGGTGATTTTCTAGCTGAAATTCAAGGTCTGTAAGCAATGGTTTGTAGAGTGACAAACCGTCAACGACAGTTGAGAACGGTACAACCTGACCCATAATTCTTAGCCGGATGACCGTATATCAAAAGAAGAGAAGAACCTTTAGAAGAAACTGAGGGCGGGTGCAATGTTTTAACCATCAGTTGTTTCATGGCACCAGATATTTGCAACCCCATTTTTCTCACGTGGCTTGTTAAAATCCACGTATTGTGTTTACATAAACTGTTATATCAGTATTATTTGAAATCTTACTCGAAAAATCATGTGTTTTAATATTGTTATCAGAATAGTGATTTTTTTATATAATTTTAAAAAAATTAATTAAAATCATTAAAACGTATATAGTATTATCATTTCATGGCACAATATATTCGCAATCTCTTTTTTCTGCATGGCTTGTTAAAATTCACATGTCATATTTATGTAGATTGCTTTATCAATATTGTTTGAAATTTTGGTCCGAAAATTACAACTGTATTAATATTATTGTCGGAGGCTTAATTAATGGTTTTTTTATGTAATTTTTAAAAAAGAGCTAAAATCATTAAAATATCTGTAATTTGTAATTTTTTGAAACATGAAGTTTTTTCTAATAGCATTCTCACTTTTTTTTCTTTTTAAGTTGTAAGATAATAATATTTTCTCATTAATTCCTTCTATCTATTGTCATAAATATAGAATTCGAGCCTCTAATCTTAAATGATTTAACATTTGATTTCCATATATATCCACGTAAAATAGAGTGAAATTCGTAACAAAAATATGATAGTTTTTGATAAGTGAATTTCGAATAACAATTAAAAAATATATCTCTCGAGCATTTATTTTATGTAATTTATAAATGAAGCATTGAGAAAACTATATAATATAATTCTACGTTTACACTCCAATTAAAAAATAAATATAAATATTATATATTACGGTACGTATCTCTTATAAAGAAATAAATTGAGTATCAAATTGAACAATTAACATCAAATATTAGGGTTGTATTATGGTTAGAGAGCATGAAAACAGTCAAAACACCCATCAAGACATATATAGAATCATATGGGTGATGAATTTCAAATAACGTTGCAGTGTTATATATATATTAGGGTTTAGTGAGGCTTATTTTGAAGCCTCTTGGTATATGGGTGATGAGTGAACACGTAATATAGAATCATATATGTAAATTGGACAAAATTTGTTATTTATCACCAATAATTAATATATAAAAATTTAACATTATCTAATTTCGATTACGTTTGAAACAAAATGGGTAAAATTATAAGATTTGAAACTCAATTAATAATGAAATAGGTCTCCCCCTCTATTTTATTACCGGTAGTAAGTAGCTAAGAATACAAAGAGAGTAAGAAATTTTACTCTTTACAGTTACCAATCCAGCCAAAGATATTACATCTTTCTGAACTGTTTATTGTCCATAACTCATAGCTTAACCATCCTTTAATACTAATAATTAAGTTTTTTTTTTGGCCTTTTCTCCTGCTGCAACAAGTTGGAATACAGTTTTTTGAGCAGCTGATAGTACAGTAGTAGGGGATGACACTGCCATGGTTGTTATTGATTCTTGCTCATGGAAGTACCTTTCAGATCTCAACGTCTCCTTGCAGCTGTTTCCCTTTGAGCGTTGAAGAAGACAGCTGCTACAGGCAGGCCAAGCTCATTTTCTTCAGCAAATTTCCTCGAGTTAAATTTGTCCCTTGAGGATGGTGTGGTCACTGTTTGCCTTCTTTTCTGCTTAAAAAGAAGGAAAACAAACCTGTGGATCCCTATGTTAGGCCTTGGCATTTCATAGTCCACCACTTCCCTACCTGCCGGAGAAAAGTTTATCTTGATCACATCATTAACAAAAAGAAAACCCCCAAAATCATTCCAGATTAAGGTGAGGCATCATACCAAATGTGGCATCTGTGGTGCCTGGGATGTCAGTAACTAGCCTGTAAAGATAGTCAAATCAAGGCCAAGCCATGAGTAAATATTTTGCTAAATGTGTGGTTTTAACTACTGTACTTTTTCCTACTATTTTTATACAACGAGTACACACCTTTTCCATCTTTTTTTAGTTTTGGAAAATATGGAAATAAATAGAATCGGTACCCTTTTCAAGTACTCGTTTTTGGGCTTTTGCTACAACTCAATTAATACTCTTGCCTTTCCATTTTTCATTTATGGTAAAAATTCCTTACTAGCTTGAGTTAGAGAAACATACCAGTGTAGATGCTCCCTGAGGTATGGATCACTAGGACCAGGAACATCTGGGTCTGTCATGACCTGCAGATGTTTATATATATATTCATTTCAAAGAGAAAGGGAAAAAAAATCTTGGGCATGGAAGAAAAAACATAAACATGTATATATATATATATATACCCTACCAGGGTGAAAAAGGACCTCATATCACCACCATGAACCTCAACTTTAGGTTTATGAGTTACTGCAGATGGGAAAAGCTCATGGCCATTAAAAACCTGCTTGTTGGAGTTATAAGAGATTGTCATTTTCACATTTGGAGTGAAATAATCAATTACATCTCCGATAACTCTTCCAACCACAAGAGGATCTGACATTTTTGACATGATATGTATGAATATTATAGGAAGACAAAGACAGAAAGCTCTAGTGTACAAAAAGGAAGTGATGAAGAGATGAGTGGATAAGCAAAGAACACTAAGATTGCTCTGTTTTCTTCTTTGGAAGAACTCATGCTGGGGATTGAGAGTGGAAGCCTGGTATTTATAGGGCTCAGATGTTTCTCTCAAGCTACTTTGGATCCATGGAATAAGCTCATGAGGCTCAAGAGGGAGGTGGGGTTACAGGGAGAAAAAAAAATTAGAAAGTGGGACATCGGTGTCCACTGAAGCAGTTCTCGAATTTTGGCCTCTTTTTTAAGGTTTTTTTAACTTAAAAGAAAACAGATGGAATTTAAGCAGATCCTGCTAAGACATTCTCGAGCTATGAACTAGATCACGACCTCTTATATTAAAGGTAATATTCTTGAAATGGGTGTTGCTAGAACCTTTCCAGAATTTGCCGTCACTTATGAATTTGCCCTATTTGGGGGTTTTTTTTTCCCTTTTTATGTAGAATTTAGGGCATAAAGGAATTCCACCATGAACATGTAAACAAAAACTGCTAGTGCTTTGGCGTCATTTCATGTAAAGAGATTCATTGTTTGGGGTCCCATTTTTTGGTTCTAAACATGATCAAAATTTGAAGTTTGATTGCCAGAAATGGAAGCTCAAGCATTCCTCTTTTTCTCTTACCATCTTTTCCTTCTCCTCTTCTGCCAATATCATGTATTCTTTCTCCTTTGATCGGGTTTTTGTTGCCATTTCTAGATGGTTTCACATTGTTCAAAAAGCCTAATATTCATGCCTCTAGAATCATGGGTTTTTTTTATGGGGTCCAAGTGGATGCTTCCTAATCAATTATATTACTATGGCTACGCATAATTGGATAAACATAACAAGCATTAAATTAATGTACGTAGCTATGGCTAAAAATAGTTAGGCTCTTTCAAATTATTAATTAGTCATATATATGTATGTGACTAATTAGTTTTAAAAGTATTGTGAATTTTCGATCAAATAGAAATTGAAATCCAGTCTTTAATTTTTTTTTCAATTTAAACATCATTTTTTATTATTACAATTTACTTTTACTAAGATTTTACGAAAACCGAAAAGATATAATCAGAAAGAGAAGGATAAACTTAAGTTTATTCTTCATTTTTCTTCTTTTGTATTAAAAGTGTATAGTATAGAAGAGGAGAAAATTTAAAATTTAAAATTAATCACTTATTTACATAATTATTTTTATTTCCTCAACGTTGACAACATCAATTATCTATCGGTCATGACAGCATTAATTATCTATCAATCATGGCACCTCGAGTATCTATATTTATGAGAAAACTATAATTTCTAAATTTGTAACAACTTTTTTAATGGGCTGATAGTTAAATTGATAGTTAAGTTTTACAAGGTATAAATATTATTTATGTGTTTCTTTTTAAAGAAATAATAATTATAGAGAATGGTTTTATTCATGTATTTGAGATGGCAATTTAATTTAAGTTTGATACCAAGATCTTAAGCAGTAAATTATTTTCATCCTAATCATAATTTTATTTATTTATGTTTGTTAATTAACTAGGTACTGCATTGAATTTGATACAACTTAGAAGAGGACTCATCTCTTTTTATTATTATTATTATTATTTCGATTACAATTAAGTTGTTTAGGCAGTAGGCACAAAAGAAACACAAGAGTTTCTTTCCCTCCCTCCTTTGATAGTAACCATTTAATTATTATTTTGTAAAAATAGTTTGGCGGTAAGAATATATATTTTTCAATGCATTTCATCCTGAATCAGGATTTGGAGCATAAAATAGTAGAATGGTGCATACGATATGCATTTCATGTGATTCAATAATATTTACTCCCTCAATTTTTTTCTTTCTTTCAATTTCAAACCAAAAAAGAAAATATTTTGCATATAGGAAAGAACATAAGAAATTTTTTTTATTTATTTTAGAAATTTATTATGAAAATTTAATTCAAATCCAAACTCAAGAAAAATTTATGAATTTCTTTTCATGACATAAGAATAAATGAAAAAATTAGATAAAAAGAAACGCATTTTAGGATTTTGTAATTATTTTTATGCATAGGAAAGAACAGAAGCAATTTTTTTTTATATTTTAGAAATTTATTATGAAAATTTATTTCAAATCCAAGCACAAAAAAATATTCTATGAATTTTTTTCACGACATAAGAATAAAGGCAAAAAGTAGATAAAAAGAAAGACATTTTAGGATTTTTGTAATTTTTTTTTAGAATTTGAGAGAAAGCAAAAAGAAATTAACAAATGAAATTAATTATTTATTTCTATACCTAAATGTAGAGAAAAAGAGGGGAATTTTGGATTTTTTTTTTTTTTTTTTGGGCATACAAGGTTGAATTATATTTTTTTTTAAGTTGGAGTTTTGAGTAATTATTTGAGAATGACCAAATTAAGTGAAGATCAGTGTTCAATTATAAATATTGACATGATACATGATGCATCAATTTAAGCTTTCAAAATTAAGACAAGCATATGATTATCACTTAGGTGGTTTTTTTTCTTCTGATAAATCAAAGGTTTATAAGTGAATTATAAACTAGTCACTCTCGTTTCAAAAAACAAATTAATTAGTCTCTTTTTTAAAAAAATTAATCATTTAATTCTTATGTTTTGATTTTATCAATAATTAGTCTTTTCATTAATTTTCTATTAAATTAATAATTTTTGTTCTCATTTTACCCTTCTTTTAATTTTTTTTTAATTGAGGAGAGAGAAAAAAATGAGTAAAGAAGAGAAATAAGACATTAATTGAAGGGTAATTTGGAAAAAATAATTATTAATTTAACAAAAAAATAATAAAAAAGACTAAGTTATTGATATGATTAAAATATAAAAAATTAAAAAATTAGTTTTTAAAACAAAAAAGACTAATCAATTTATTTTTCAAAACAAGAGAGATTAATTTATAATTTACACAAGTTTTATTTTTTGGATCCTCCAAAGTATCTCAAACATAAATATTCAGATTAATTTCTCAATATTTTGTTGATTACATAAGATGAGCATAATTATTCAGAAATTTTTTTATATGCATAAATATTTTTGAAACACCGAGAACACCGATTTAATCGCCTAAACTCCTTCCAATTAAATCAGTTCTCAAAAAGCATAAACCGTCCTATCATGCCAGTACAAGAGGCTATATGGAATCAATAATGTGTGAGAATTTAGGCTATCCACAAGCATTTCATGAATAGACTTCTAATGTACTTTTCGGGGGAAATCTAAAATTAAATAATACCCAACCTATGCACTAATTATTCGTAAACTAAATGTCTTGTCAATTGGGTCTCTAAGGTATATATTAAAACATTTAGATAATTATATATAGATAGATTCAATTGAAAATATCTAATGCAATATTGGAGATGAAATTCATAATTAATTACTCCGTGTCAAAATTGATTTAACAGGTTTGGAGTAAATAAACATACTTTAAAATGACGAATATTTATGTTTTATTTTTAAAATGCATTAAGAAAATTGATTTAACAAATTTGGAGTAGATTCCTTTTTTTTAAAAAAAAAAGCTAATTATCATTTCATTTAATCTTTATTAATAAATTAAAATAATTTAACAAAAGAACTCATTTTTTATTTTATGTAGCTCAAATCTTAGTGTATAAATCTAAATTACATAACGGGTTCTGACAATTAAAAATCATTATTTTTTCACTATAAACACTCTATCATAACAATTGTAAGAGAATTTTCTAATCATTCTCCACTTGCTCAATGGATAAGTCTCTTACATTCATCAAACAACTTTTAAAGTTCCGCTTAATTAGATCATGACTATTCACCTATCATTCACTTGATTTCAGAAACCGTCCTGGAAATATCTCATATCAAAAACATATATATATATATATATATATAAAGGATACGGTTTCGGTACAAAAAATTTTCAAACACCTCTTAGCAACCCGTGATGAAAGGGGGCCGAACCTAAGGCACCGGGTAAGCTGAAAAGCAGCAAAAAGCACAGGTACACGTCAAATAAAGGACAGAAGGCAAAGGGCTGAAACAACTAGTGGCGTAAGAACAGCCACCCAGACAGACCAGACAGAATTACCAAAATTAACACCTGATAATTAACAGAAACAGGGCAGGCATGCAGCACGTCCAGGACTGCAAAAAGCATTCAGGCTGGCACCTCTAAATAAAGAAAAAAAAAAAAAAGGAGAGCAGCACGTCCAGGACTGCAAAAAGCATTCAGGCTGGCACCTCTAAATAAAGAAAAAAAAAAAAAAGGAGAGAATCAAAAGCTTGGCCAAGAACCCTCCATCGAAAAATAAAATATTTGCTCAATCTTCACCAACATCTTGTTTGTTCTGCGTCCAGCTGGAACTGATTTCTTGATAAGTTTTTTTATGAATTAAAGTTTTAGAATTATATTTATCAAGAAAAGTTAAATTTTGTTGTTTTTTTTTTAAAAATAAAATATTACTCTAAGGCTTAAGAGGAGTAAATGATAAATTAGTTTCTTTAGTTTCAATAAACAAATTAATTAGTATTTTTTGTTTAAAAACTAATTATTTTATCTTTATATTTTTAAATTTTATTGTAATTTAATTCTTTTTAATTTTTTTAATCTCTTTTGATTTTTTGTTTAAAAAAATAAAGAATGATGGATGAAAAAAAACATTTGTTGTTTTTGTTTTGAAGATAAAAATAAAACATTGCTCTAAGGTTCATGAGGAGTAAATGGTAAATTAGTTTCATTAGTTTTGAGAAACAAATGAATTAGTATCTTTTTTATTTAAAAAAATAATTATTTAGTCTTTATATTTTTAAATTTTATTATAATTTAATCATTTTCACCTATTTTTAATTTCTTTTATTTTTTTAAATAAAGAATGATGGATGGAAAAAAACATTTGTCGTTTTTGTTTTGAAGATAAAAATAAAACATTGCTTTAAGGTTCACGAGGAGTAAATGGTAAATTAGTTTCTTTAGTTTCGAGAAACAAATGAATTAGTATCGTTTTTATTTAAAAAACTAATTATTTAGTCTTTATATTTTTAAATTTTATTATAATTTAATCATTTTCACCTGTTTTTAATTTCTTTTATTTTTTTTAAATAAAGAATGATGGATGGAAAAAACATTTGTTGTCTTTTAAAAAAAATAAAAATAAAATATTGCTCTAAGGTTCAAGGGGAGTAAATGATAAATTAGTTTCTTTAGTTTCGAGAAACAAACTAATTAGTATTTTTTGTTTAAAAAATCAATTATTTAGTCTTTATATTTTTAAATTTTATTGTAATTTAATCATTTTCACTTGTTTTTAATTTCTTTTGATTTTTTTTTGAAAAAATAAAGAATGATGGATGACAAAAACATTTGTCCTTTTTATTTTAAAAATAAAAATAAAATATTGTTCTAAGGTTCAAGAGGGGTAAATGACAAATTAGTTTCTTTAGTTTCGAGAAACAAATTAATTAGTATTTTTATTTAAAAAACTAATTATTTAATCTTTATATTTTTAAATTTTATTGTAATTTAATCATTTTCACTTGTTTTTAATTTTTTTGATTTTTTGTTTTAAAAAATAAAGAATGATGGATGACAAAAAAATATTTTATAAATAAAAAATATTAAATTAAACATCGTCAATACTATTTAAAAGATTAAATGATTAATTTTTTATATAAAAATACTAATTAATTTGTCTCTAAAAAAAATAAAGATATTAATTTAT